ATGTAGAGAGACAAGCATCCCAAGTGGAGATCTTCATGCCACATGCACCTGGGGCCTCAGTCAGTCAGTCCCAGGTGCATGTGGCACAAAACCCTACCATGCTCAGGCAGGTCTCCCTCATGGGTCAGCCCCCAGGCCCCCTCAGCCCATTTTATCCTGCCTTCTAAACTTCAGTGACCCAATCGCTGAACACTTGTCTAAGCACTCACTGGGTGGAGAATCCAGTCCAGCACCAAGCCCAGCAGTCATTCTGCTGTGATCTGCCTGGAGCACCCAGTAGCGGAGGGGAGTATCTGGGAGGAGCCACGGGGCCTGGGCCAACAGGGCGTTGGGATCACTCAAAGGTGGGGCAAGTAGGGAGGAGGAGGTCGTCAGCAGAGGTGGCCCGGGTAAGTGGCATCATGGGCAAAGTTGAGGTCAGCGGGAAGAGGGAGATGGGAGGGACACTGTCACGGGTTGAACTGTGTCCCCCAAATCAGTGTCAGAACCCTAACCCCAGGACCCCCAGTGCCTGTGACTGTAAACTCACAAGGAAGAGGGTCTTTGCACATGGCCAAGGTAAGGAAAGCTCACTAGGGTCAGTCTTAGTCCACCGTGCTGGGTCCTATTTACAAAGGGGAAGGGAGCTGAACACAGAAACACACACAAGTGTCCTCGCAGCTCTGCTGTCATGGACAAGAAGCCACCACAGGCTGGGGCGAGGCACAGAACTGACCACCCTGGTGGTCAGGGGGGCATGGCCCTGCCACCACTTTGATCCAACCTCAGGACCTCAGGGCTCTGGGACAAGTCTGTGCTGTTCTGCAGTGCTGTCTGCCATGCTGCACTGTGCCAGCCCCAGAGAAGGGACAGGCACAGCTGCCCATCCATGCTCTCTAGACAACAGTGCCTTCCCAAGCCCACCCCACAGGAGGGTTAGCACAGGGAGCAGGGTCCTTAAAAGGCCACCACTGATAGGGTCTCTTGCAGCCCCTGGAGCTGTGACGGAGCCTCTACCTGCTGTTCCTGGAGCCCAGAAGCCCAAGCAGGCCACACCATCCTGCAGACTAGCTGAAGTCCTACTCCCATGGATGCCATGTGGAGCAACCACTGAGTGCCTTCAGTCTCCACAGGAAGATGGTGCACTGCCCGGCTATGACAGCATCTCATCAGTGCCGGCAGGTCCAGGGTGGCCCTCGGAGGGGCTGAGGGCAGAACTGGCTGTAGAGCCTCACTCACAGCACTTCTTGCAGAGATCAGGGTAAATCCAGAAAGGGGAGAAGGGAAGAGAGGGGCTTGGTGGGCAGAGTGCCAAGAGCAGAGGCCCCTCCAGGTGACAAATAGAGTGGGTTAGGAGGGGCCTCCCATCTCTATCAGCCAGGACCTCTGACCCTGGCACAGGTGCCCTTCCAGCCAGGCGTCAGCTCTAGACCAGTCCATTTTCCCAGAAAGAGGAAATGATGCAGCTGGCTGGCTCTAGTCAAAGTTCTAGAACTTGGAGGCCTGAGCCCATTGCCTGCAAGGATAGAAGGGGCACAATGTCCCGGAGGCCCTCACGTGGCCTGCTGGCCAGGGTCTTGCCTTTGATATGACCAGCTCCCACACAGATGCCATCTTGCTGGTTGCAGAAAAGGCCACAGGTTAAGGCAGGAATGGGCCCAGGGCTCTGTGATTCCTGGGAGGGTGGAGAGGTGGGACTCCTGAATCAGCCCAGGACACAGTAGCCCTGCTGCTGCCTTAGCCTAGGGAGCAGACCTGTTGGGGACGAGGATCCCACTCCCACTCCTGCCCTGCCACTAGCTCATCCTCTGGGCTTGGAGGCCCTGAGAGGCCGGTGCTAGAACCCCCTACCCTCCAGGCCATGGAGAGCTAGGAAGGCCACAGGTGAGCAGCACAGTGGCCTCCAGACCCCAGGCACTGAGGCTCCTGCTCTTCTCCCGCTGGGCCTTCCCCTCCTCAGCCCCGAGATTCATTCCTCTCTCCCATCTCAAGGCTCCCTCCACCCTCGGGCCTCCCAGGTGTGGTTCCTGGTTCTATGACACCCATGAGCCTACAGGAAGACTGTCATGCCTGCATCTTTCTCACAGACCAGCATGGGAGCTTCTGAGTCCAGGGCCAGCCTCTGCTCTGCTCTGAGGTGGGCCTGTAGACAGGGGAGCAGGAGGACATTCAGACACCTGGGGAACCCAAGTCCATCCATGACTGACCCAGAAACCCAGCTTCCAGGACTTTATCCTGAAGGAATAACCAGGTAAAAAGCAAAGGGAAGAAGACAGGGATGCCCGCCTAATACCACTTATAACCGGGGACATTAGCAACAATATGGGGCTGGATCTGTAGCCTGGCAGTTAAGACAGCCAGGCCTCACATGACCAAGTCCATGGTTTGAGTCCCAGATCTGGAGGTTTGAGAAACATGTTAGGTGCATAGGTGTATGTGCACATGTGCCCCAAATCATGACACGACCAAGAAATGAAGGAGATCGTAGTGTGACCATTCCCTATGGGAGTGCTAGTCAAAGTTCTATCCTTGCAGGTAATGAGCTCAGGCCTCCAAGTTCTAGAACTTTGACTAGAACCCTCTGTCTCTCACTGGTGAATGCATACGCCCTCTAGCAAAAACAATTTAAAAAGGAAAAAGAAAAGAAAATAATTCAAATGTCCAATACAGAGCAGATGTACACTTGTTATCACTCACATCATCACGACACTCTAGCTTGGGACTGAAAGGCTAATACTCACCTCTGTACTTGGACCAGATGCCCAGGACATACAGTTCCATGAACAAAAGGGGGAGAGGCCTCACCACTCCTCACTCGCACACACGCATGCACACACGTTCATTCTCCGTCCTCGCGACTAGAGGAACAACAGGGGGCACATTGTGGGCACCCAGGTCAGCCCCGCCTCTGCCGCCCTCGCCTAAGGGGAGCAGCAGAGGCCCTGACCCAGCACAAAACGCTGGCGTCGCCACCAGAGGGGAGTCGACTGCCCAGCAGCTGCCACCAGAGAAGCCCACCCACCCACTCGCCTGTCCCCCTGCCCCCATTCACAATGCAGCCTGCTTCTGCAAATGGTATGCTCAAAGGGACTATGTCTTCATTGAATTTTGTGTTGAAGACAGTAAAGATGTTAATGTAAATTTTGAAAAATCCAAACTTACATTCAGTTGTCTTGGAGGAAGTGATTATTTTAAACATTTAAATGAAATTGATCTTTCCCACTGTATTGATCCAAATGATTCCAAGCATAAAAGAACAGATAGATCAATTTTATGTTGTTTACGGAAAGGAGAATCTGGACAGTCATGGCCAAGGTTAACAAAAGAAAGGGCGAAGCTTAACTGGCTTAGCGTGGACTTTAATAATTGGAAAGACTGGGAAGACGATTCAGATGAAGACATGTCTAATTTTGATCGTTTCTCTGAGATGATGAACAACATGGGTGGTGATGAGGATGTCGATTTTCCAGAAGTAGATGGAGCAGATGATGAGTCACAAGATGATGATGAAAAAATGCCAGACCTGGAGTAAAGAATGTTGTCATCACCTGGATTTTGAGAAAGAAAAATAACTTCTCTGCAAGATTTCATAATTGAGAGAATTCCTGAGTTGATAGCTCTAAAGGCAGATGCTGTATTTGCCTCCTTTAACCCATTTTCAACCTGTTTGTTTTTT